AATTAGAAGTAATGTGAGACACTCACAATGGAGATCGGTGATGGGTCACCCACAGGCAGGGAACTCTGGGCCTCCTTACTTTCAGTCTGAACTCCCCAAGTAGGAAAGCCAGTGGACGTGTGGCCTCAGCTTGAGTTGCGCTGGTTGCTTCTCTTGGCTCGCTCAGTGGCTAACACAGTCTATGAAACTCCATTGTGAGAAGGTTACAAGGGCCACAAGGCAAAAAGAGGTAAGAGGGATCCCAGGCTTTCCTAAAACTGACACCCTCCTTCCCTCTCTACCTGTACCACTCTCAGCCTACGTACTTCCTACACCTTGCCTTGACCTGACCTTCACATATAGTCAGTGTTTAGAGTTTCAGAAAGCCTCATTTCTAATGTGGTACCCAGAGTCCACTACAACTGAATCCACATAAAAGTAACACCAAAAGCCAGCCTGGACAGGAAAGTCCCTGTGACTCTGATCTCCGATAAACCACCAGAAAACCGAAAGTGGCGATGTGGCTCAAGTGTTAGAGCACTAGCCTTGAGCTGAATTGCTGAGGGACAGTGCCCAGGCCCAGAGTTCAAGCCCCACGACCCACAAAAAAAAAAAAAAAGTAACACCAAGTGCAGCTTTATCTGACTTTATCCTGAAAAATGAGATATTCAATTAACAAACAATTTAACCAAGAAGCTGGCACATGGTTTTCTTGGGGTGGGTCAAGAGAAGATGGCAGAAAAATGGAAAGAGGAAGGGTGGGCAAATATATCTATATCTGTATCTACATCTATTTCATGTAGCTGGGCGCCGGTGGCTCACTCCTGTAATCCTAGCAACTCAGGAGCCTATGATCTGAGGATTGTGGGTCGAAGCCAGCCAGGGCAGGGAAGTCCTTTAGACTCTTATCTCCAATAAACTACTCAGAAAAGGCTGGAAGGGGCATTGTAGCTCACGTGATGGAATGCTAGCCTTGAGCACAAAGAGGCTCAGAGACAGCTTCCAGGCCCTGAGTTCAAGCCCCAAGCCGGACAGGCAAATATATATCGTGGTTCAAAGCCAGCCTGGGCAGGAAAGTCCATGAAACTCTTCTTTTCTTTTCTTTTTTTTTTTTTTTTTTTTTTTGTTGGTCATGGGGCTTGAACTCTGGGCCTGGGCACTGCCCTTGCACTGTTCAGCTCAAAGCAAGCGCTCTACCTCTTGAGCCACAGCGCCACTTCCAGTTTTCTAGTGGTTTATTGGAGATCAGAGTCTCACGGACTTTTCTGCCTGGGCTGGCTTTGAAACATGATCCTCAGATCGATCTCAGCCTCCTGAGTAGCTAGGATTACAGGCATGAGCCATTGGTGCCCAGCTTCCATGAAACTCTTATCTCCAATAAACCACCAGAAAATTGGAAGTGGTGCTGTAGCTCAAGTCGTAGAGCACTAGCCTTGAGCTGAAGAGCTGAGGGACGGCACCCAGGCCCAGAGTTCAAGCCCCATGGCCAATAATAATAATAATAATGACAGTAAGCTTCTAAAATAGACCCTTGATATCCAGGGGGCATGGCCCTGCCCATGTGCAGGACGCATGATTCATTTTTCCCACTGCCCAACTTTCACTGCAGACCTTGCCTTTCAATATGTCTGAAATCTTCACTCTGCCACTTAAACTAAGCACATCAGCCTTTACTTTGTGTTTGGGGTTCCTTTTGCCATTTGGGAGGTGGATTTTTCACAAAATGAAAGGCAAAGAAATAATCCGCAGATAACACAGTAATTTAAACACAACTGATGATAATACAGAATTAAGAGCTTCTCAATATCAACTGAGCTGTAAAATGTATGTGCAGGAACTTTAAGGCGTGTGTTTGTGCGTGCATGTGCATACACGCACGTGCGCATGCATGTGCACCAGTACTGGGGCTTGAAGTCAAGACCTCACACTGTCACTCGGCCATGTCTGCTCAAGGCTGGTGCTCTACCACTTGAGTCATGCCTTTACTTTCAGCTTTCTGATTAATTGGAGATAAGCACCTCAGATTTTTCTGCCTAGGCTGGCCTCAAACTGTAAGCCTCAGATCCAGCCTGTTGAGTAAGTAGGATTATAGGCATGGGCCACTAAAACCAGCTTTAAGATCTCCTTTTGAAATTCCATTTGATTTATTAATTTATTGTGCTGTGCTTGAACAAAACATATGTAACTTATGAGTAACATGTAATTACTGAATATGCACATATATGTATATCCATGGCAACGTATGTGTACTTATGTATACTTTTTAAAACCTTAGATTAAAATTGCTGCTGCTAATTCCTATTGCACAGACAACCTCACCTCTGGAATCAATGAGCAGACTTTGGGGAGTCCTTAGGACTTACAGTTGTCTTTTAAGAATTAGTAGATTTAGCATGTATTGAAGGAGGGAGAAGCCCCTCCTCCAGTACAGCAGCGATATCAAGTTGTATGTAGAGTGTATTTGTGAAGAAGCTAATTCTGACCAAAAAAAAAAAAAAGATTTTTTTTTCTTCTACAATGTTCACTGCAACACAAACACACCTCTCAGAACAACTGTGTGTGGGGGTCCCCCTGACCAAACAGCTCCCAGATGGTACCGCCAGGCAAACGCTGCACCTGCAGAGTCAGATCCCACGGGCTCAGGGGCTTAGTCCCTGGAGGCCCGCACCCCACCACACACAAAGGGAAAATCCAGGTGGTGATTGTACTGTTGACTTGAGCTGTGAATGGGGATACTCGCCAGACCCCTGTGTTTAATGACTGATTAGGATGCCTCGCAGAATTCAAGAAACATTTTCAAGTTTATTATAAAGAATATTGAGGAAGTGGAACTCTGCCTCAAAGTGGTAGAGGGTTAGCCTTGAGCAAAACAGCTCAGCCCCACAACTAATAAAAAATTTAAATAAAATTTAAAAGAAATTAAAATTTAAAAATTGCTGTTTAAGATTTTCAGAGCTCAGCTGAGCACAGACAGCTGAAACAGTAGAAAGCAAAACCATGGATAAGTAGGTGGATGATTCTATACCACACAGATACAAAACAGAAATGTTAAATCAAGTAATAATGGAACTGGTGAAAGGTATAAGGGTAAACAAGGATAAAAATGGAGTTAACAAGTCAAGTTTAGAAATCAAAGGAGCCACGGCAGCACCAGTTTCACCTGCTGGGCCTAGCTCTGTGACCTGCTAACATGGAACCTCACACTGGTTCTTCTTCAAATACCAATCCAGGCCTGACACCCCCTTCCCCAGCTCTTACCCTACTCCCACCCCCTCCTCCTCTATGGGCCAGGAAGAGGCCCCACCCTCCATCTTCCATAGCTCTGGTTCTCCGGACTCTGGGACACATGCCCTCCTTTGAAATACTCTGGAGTTTCTGCTCCCTAGTAGGAGAGGATATGGGACATTCTTCCTTCCAGAAACAGAGCTTGGGCAGGATCCCAACCAGAAAGAATGCCCAGAAAGTTGGGAGGGGAAGGAAGGTGGGCAGCTCCATTACTGTGTCAGAGTCTTAACAGCCAAGTTACCTAATTTCAAACCAAGTTAATGACCTGCTATGATTTCTCTTTTTCTTTGAGAGGCACCCTGAATAACCCAGTGCCCAAGGCTTTAGAGACCACCCACTCACTTCCTCTGGGTCTCAGGTAGAGCTCCCAGCGACAATCCCTACAAAAGCTCTGCTCTCCAAACGCAACTGAGAGCTGCTGTCCTTTCAAGCAATCCGGATCTGTCACTCCAGAGGTAGAACTCCACTCACAGGGATCTGGTTGTGCACTGAGAAAGGCCAACAGGTGTCAGCTGCATCACTTTCAAGCACAGACATCTTGAACTAGGGGGCAGAATCACATTCTCTAAAATAAAGAGTTAAGAATGCTGGACGGTGAGCAAGCACAGAGCTCCAGGAATAGCAGGGACAGGCTGTTCTGTGCTGATGGCTCCTCATCCAGTGTTTTCAACACCAGGAACGCTAACCTGGCATCTTAATCAAGGCTAAGGCACCCTCTGCAACCCTTAAAGCTTTACTTCACTCCATGGACGGTGGGCATTCTTTAAAAACACATATCCAACGTACCACAAATGGCACTTATCAACTCCCTAACCATACTGTTTCTGTCCTAATTTTTTGTGGATTTTTTCCACATAGAGGACTTTGGCTATTCTTTTTAATCCTCCTTCTTGGTTTTTAACATTCAAGCAAGCTGAGAATGAACATGAGGTAATACTTCTAAGTAACAGGATATGGAGATTTTCCTCCATCCATAACCAGGAAGTGACAAACTGATGGTGTGAGGTTGGGGGGTAAGGGGTGCGGGGTGTCGGGCCCTTTGTCTATGGGGCGGGGCGAGACTCCTCCGAGTACAGCCCCCCCCCCCCGTGCCTCCCGGGCCCAGGGGACCATGGGCAGGGGCCCGGCCCGCGGAGCCCCGTCGGGCGGAGGGCGAGCAGGGAGCCGGAGGTGGCGCCGGCCGCCCCGATCTCCGGGACCGTGGGACCGTGGGCCTCGCCGTACACGAGCGTCGAGAGCCTCGACCCGGGCCTTGGCAGGACCTGGGCCAGAGGAGAGGAGGCCGGGGGCGGAGGGAGGCCGGGCCGTCGGGGCCACACGGCGCGGCCGGGGAATCCGTGCCCTGCACCATCTCTGGGGCACACACCTGGCCAGTGACTTGGCTGACCTGGATTGAGACAGGAGAGGGAGGAACTTTCTAGCAAGACGCCAAGGAAAACGTGCTGGGGAGAACCCCACCGAGGCCACCCCGGTCGGCGGTCCTAGAGGGCAACGCCGGGGCCGCCCGGACGCCCCGCGCCTGCGCAGCGCAACCCCAGAGCCGCGCTGGAGCGGGGCGCCAGCGCGAGGGGCGTGGCCTCGCTGCGCCGCTCGCGAGGGGCGGGGCTCGGTTGCGCCACGCGCGGGAGACGAAGTTTAGTTGCGCCGCGCTAGGGGGCGTGGCTTGTCTGCGCCGAGGGGCGGGGCCGGCTCCGAGCTGGGCCGGGACAGGGCGTGGAGGCCACACGTCGGGACGTCCTCGCGCCGAGTCCGACGGCGCCTGCGCGCTGCGCAGCCGGCAAGGGGGCGGGGCAGGCGTACTTCCGCGCCTCGCTGTCCCCTAGCGCCGCCGGACGTCGCTCAGGCCTTCGGCACCATGAAGATCTGGACTTCGGAGCATGTCTTTGAGTAAGTGTGGGCACCTTTGGGGAGTTCCCGGCGTCGGCCCGGGGAGAAGGGCCGGGCTGAGCCCGCGGCCCCCCCCCGGGGGCGGGCCAAGGTCACGACCCCGCGACCCGACCATTGAGCCGGTCCGACGGGAGGCCCCGCCCCTTCGGGGGTCGAGGGGCGTCGCGGAGCACGCGGTTCTCGGCGGAAACTGCGGTGGACACTTCCGGTCTGGCCGGTGCTGCTGGGGCCGCGCCCCGGGGCGTCCAGGCCGGGCGCGGGGGGTCGCCCGGGGCCTCCAGGCCGGGCGCGGCGTCTCCCCCGAGGAAGGACCTTGTGGAACCCGGGTTTGCGGCGGGCCGGGCCCCCCACCCATCAATCAGGATGGACACTTGTCGGCTTGACCCGAGTGCGGACACGCGCCTGGCCCCCGGGGCTCCACGCTGGCCCCGCAGCCTGTGACCTTGGCTTCCTGCTCTTCTCAGAGCTGGGAGACGGTCAGGGCCTCTCCGTGAGAGGTCTCTGGCCACAGCTCCACGACACCTTCGTGTGGCATTGGAAACACCTTAAGCCGGTGGAGATGTTGGCAACCAAACTGTGTCTTGGAGACCCACGGTTTCACATGCGGAAGAACCGTAGACGTAGCAGCTGAACCTTTTTTTGATCCCACGAAGTGGTTGCCTCTTTGTTCCAGGACTCTTTTTTGATAAATCTTCTCTGAAATGAAAAACCACTTGCTCATAAACACTGCTGTGGTTTACGTTTGAGGTACTTGTGCTCTCTTCCAGTCATCTTGTTAATGTTGCCGTACTGTTTGAGTTCTTACGGCCTTGTAGTATGTTTTAGTTCAGAAGTTTTGAGTTTTAAAATGTGTTTCTGGGGACAATTTCAAGAGTTGTCACCAGTCATTGGTGTCTCACACGCGTAATCCTAGCTATTCAGGAAGCGGAGATCTGAGGATGGAGATTTGAAGCCAGCCTAGACAGAAAAGTCTTATCTCCAATTAACCACAAAAGGCTGGAAATGAAGTTATGGCTCAAGTGGCAGAGCACCCACCTTGAGTGAAAAAACGAAGCAAAAGCAAAAGTTCCTGAGTTCAACACCCCTCCCCCAAGTTATCAACATTTTTTTCAGTAGTAGACCACACTGAGGGCCTGCTAGAAAGAACACTGAGTGTTAGAACCAGAAGGAAGTTTTGATCGTTAATTGCTTATTGGCCTTCCTACATCACATTTCATCAAGGATCTTGATCTCTGTGCCCCAGATCTGTGATAAAGAGATGGGCATACTTACATTAGTGCTGCCTCACCCCTGGAAAGGAACCCAGGTCTCCCGATAGTCTGGACTGTGAAAGCAGAATCCCATCTGACATACATTGCTGGCATCCAGAGCTGTGCCCTGAGCTCCGATCTCTTGTACTTCAGAGCCTTATTCGGGGGCTACCTGAACACCTGACCTCAGTTCCCATATGTGCAAAGGCAGAGGGTTTCCAGGCCCACCTGCTTCCCTGAAGCTTCACATCCCTGAAGAGTGCCTTCTCCCAGGGCCTCCTCTCCCAGCTTCCCACGTCAGGACACTGCTCTCCAGCAGCAGCTGAGTCACTATTGCGTCCCACCCAGGTTTGATCTTCGAGCACTTCCTCTTGAGGCCACACCTGTGGTTGGCCATCAGTTGAAGTCAGTGTTGATTCCTTCCACGGGCATCAGTGCAGTGGATGCTGGGCCCTGGGATTCAGATGGCTTACTTTTTAACTAAGTCCAGATCCTCTTGCTACCTCAATGGTGTGAACAGCGTCCCCCACTCATTTGATAGGGGAGGAAAGTGGACAGGTCAGTAAGCCTCAGACAGATCCTTTGGTATGGTGTTGAATGACTTCTGGTGGCAGATCTTTTTGCATTAATTACACTAGCGCATTTAAAAGTAATTACTTGGAAAGCACGGTCATAGTCGTAGTAGGCATCACTTGAAGCTTTTGAGCTCCTCATGTTCACAGAGCAAGCTCCATGAAGCAGAGTCCATGTTGTCAAACAGTGCATAACTACTCATGCTGATTTGTTAGAGAATGAAGAAAGAGACCGGCAGAGGCCAGAGGCCACACCCTGTGACTACATAGATTGAGAAGGGTTGGTTGGGTTTTCATTTTACACAGTTGCCCTGGTAACAATCAGAGTGTTTGGTCTGTATCACTTCTATTTGTGGGGATTGTTTAGATTTATGAAGCTGTTCCACCCACACACCTGCACTGATTGCTGAATAAGGTTGAGATTAAAACCAGAGGTTCATTTATGTAATATTGTAGAGAAAATGAAGACGACATTCAGAATCATGTCACTGCCTGTTTAGGGCTCTGAAAAGTTAATGGAGTTGAGATTTTTCTTCTGTTGACAAGATGTAGTTGTCAGTCTGAGTTCTCTGAGAAGTTGAAATAGATTAATGCCTTCTTGTTTTGCTTTTAGAAAAAAAAACCTGTGAGCTGTGAGATTTGTATCAACTGATAAAGCTGGAAACATCTTCTCCAGGTCCTATCTTCCTTGTAGATGAAGGCAAGAGCATAGTTCAATAGAGTAGAAGGGACAGGGTCATATTGTAGGTGGATTGAGCACCTGTCATACTGTGCTCACGGTTTTTGGCCCATGTCTTCATCCACAGAGGTGAGGAGAGCTGATGTGTGCACATGCCTCTTCTACAGAGGTGAGGAGAGCTCACGTGTGTACATGCCTCCATCCACAGAGGTGAGGAGAGCTCACGTGTGCACACACCTATATCCACAGAGGTGAGGAGAGCTCACGTGTGCACACACCTCCGTCCATAGAGGTGAGGAGAGCTCACGTGTGCACACACCTATATCCACAGAGGTGAGGAGAGCTCACGTGTGCACACGCCTATATCCACAGAGGTGAGGAGAGCTCACGTGTGCACACAGCTCTATCTACAGAGGTGAGCAGAGCTCACGTGTGCATACACCTCCATCCACAGAGGTGAGGAGAGCTCACGTGTGCACACGCCTCCGTCCATAGAAGTGAGGAGAGCTCACGTATGCACACAGCTCTATCTACAGAGGTGAGCAGAGCTCACATGTGCATACACCTCCATCCACAGAGGTGAGGAGAGCTCACGTGTGCACACACCTATATCCATAGAAGTGAGGAGAGCTCACGTGTGCACACGCCTCCATCTACAGAGGTGAGGAGAGCTCACGTGTGCACACGCCTCTATCTACAGAGGTGAGGAGAGCTCACGTGTGCACACACCTATATCCATAGAGGTGAGGATAGCTCACGTGTGCACACGTCTCCATCCACAGAGGTGAGGAGAGCTCACGTGTGCACACGTCTCCATCCACAGAGGTGAGGAGAGCTCACATGTGCACATGTCTACATCCACAGAGGTGAGCAGAGCTCACATGTGCACACATCTCCATCCACAGAGGTGAGCAGAGCTCACCTGTACACACAGCTCCATCTACAGAGGTGAGGAGAGCTCACGTGTGCACACACCTATATCCATAGAAGTGAGGAGAGCTCACGTGTGCACACGCCTCCATCCACAGAGGTGAGGAGAGCTCACGTGCACAGGTCTCCATCCACAGAGGTGAGGAGAGCTCACGTGTGCACACGCCTCTTCTACAGAGGTGAGGATAGCTCACGTGTGCACACACCTATATCCATAGAGGTGAGGAGAGCTCACGTGCGCACACGCCTCTTCTACAGAGGTGAGGAGAGCTCACGTGTGCACACGTCTATATCCACAGAGGTGAGCAGAGCTCACATGTGCACACGTCTCCATCCACAGAGGTGAGCAGAGCTCACCTGTACACACAGCTCCATCTACAGAGGTGAGGAGAGCTCACATGTGCACACGTCTACATCCACAGAGGTGAGGAGAGCTCATGTGTGTACACGTCTCCGTCCATAGAGGTGAGGAGAGCTCACATGTGCACATGTCTACATCCATAGAGGTGAGGAGAGCTCACGTGTACACACAGCTCTATCTACAGAGGTGAGGAGAGCTCACGTGTGCACACGCCTCTTCTACAGAGGTGAGGAGAGCTCATGTGTGTACACGTCTCCATCCATAGAGGTGAGGAGAGCTCACGTGCGCACACGTCTCCATCCACAGAGGTGAGGAGAGCTCACGTGTGCACACGCCTCTTCTACAGAGGTGAGGAGAGCTCACGTGTGCACACACCTATATCCATAGAGGTGAGGAGAGCTCACGCGTGCACACGCCTATATCCACAGAGGTGAGGAGAGCTCACGTGTGCACACGTCTATATCCACAGAGGTGAGGAGAGCTCACGTGTGCACATGTCTACATCCACAGAGGTGAGGAGAGCTCACGTGTGCACACGTCTCCATCCACAGAGGTGAGCAGAGCTCACCTGTACACACAGCTCCATCTACAGAGGTGAGGAGAGCTCACATGTGCACACGTCTACATCCACAGAGGTGAGGAGAGCTCATGTGTGTACACGTCTCCGTCCATAGAGGTGAGGAGAGCTCACATGTGCACATGTCTACATCCATAGAGGTGAGGAGAGCTCACATGTGCACACAGCTCTATCTACAGAGGTGAGGAGAGCTCACGTGTGCACACGTCTATATCCACAGAGGTGAGCAGAGCTCACATGTGCACACGTCTCCATCCACAGAGGTGAGGAGAGCTCACGTGTGCACATGTCTACATCCACAGAGGTGAGCAGAGCTCATGTGTGTACACGTCTCCGTCCATAGAGGTGAGGAGAGATCACGTGTGCACACGCCTCCATCCATAGGCATGAGGAGAGCTCACGTGTGCACACGCCTCCATCCACAGAGGTGAGGAGAGCTCACGTGTGCACGCATCTCCATCCACAGAGGTGAGCAGAGCTCACGTGTGCACGCATCTCCATCCACAGAGGTGAGGAGAGCTCACGTGTGCACATGTCTACATCCACAGAGGTGAGCAGAGCTCACGTGTGCACACGCCTCCATCCACAGAGGTGAGGAGAGCTCACGTGTGCACACATCTCCATCCACAGAGGTGAGGAGAGCTCACGTGTGCACACGCCTCCATCCACAGAGGTGAGGAGAGCTCACGTGTGCACGCATCTCCATCCACAGAGGTGAGGAGAGCTCACGTGTGCACGCATCTCCATCCACAGAGGTGAGCAGAGCTCACGTGTGCACGCCTCCATAGATGTGAGGGGAGCTCAAGGACCTCACACTTGCCCTCTTGAACACATGGCTTTGCTTTCTTAAGAAAAGAAGGATGCTCTAAGTTCTCCAGTGATGTGGTCTTGTCAGTACTTCAATCCTAGGTGTGAGCGAGTACTTACTGTGCTAAGAGATTATAAAAACCAGTATGTGAAGAGAGCAGAAAGACATTTGATTATGCTGAGCAAACTTTAACAAGCAAGAATCATTTCTCTGGGAACAATGGATGTCAACTGGACAGGCTTCTGTTAGCCTTAAACTAACAAGACTTTTTAATTAAAGCAATAGTGCTTTCTGTCTTCTTGTAACGTCTGCACAAATTGGTAGGGCCTGCGAGTTCCTTTCCTCTTCCTGACTTCACAGCACTGCGGCGGCATGGTCAGGAGCCCAGGCACCCCCGCCCGCTGGCAGTCAGTAGAACACATCCCTCAAGGATGTTTTTGTGAAGCAGTGGCTCTTGGTTACATGTGAATGTGGATGATGTACATAGGAAAGGTATCCATGTCTGTGCACATTAAAAATGTCGATTGAGCTGGGCACCAGTGCTCTCGCATCTGTAATCCTAGCTACTCAGGAGGCTGCAATTTAAGAATCATGGTCCAGAGCCAGCTGGGGCAGGAAAGTCTGTAAGCCTCTTATCTCCAATAAACTCCTCAGAAAGCTGAAAGTGGCACTGTGGTTCAAGTGGTACAGCACTAGCCTTGAGCAAAAGAAGTTCAGGGACCACAGCACCTTGGCCCTGCGTTCAAGGCCCAGGACCAGTACACACACAAATGTTGGTTGAGCTCCCCAAATCAGTCAGTGTTTCAGAAAGTAATTTTCCCTAAGTAAAAAGTAATTAAGTTCCTATTGTAAAGAGCTGTTTGATGGGTTATAGACATTGTCAGCTTCCCATGCGTATTTTTAACCGTGTGACTCTTGGCACTTGTTGATAGTCACCCGTGGGAAACCGTGACAACAGCTGCGATGCAGAAGTACCCCAACCCCATGAACCCGAGTGTCGTGGGCGTAGATGTGCTGGACCGCCACGTGGACCCCTCCGGGAAGCTGCACAGCCACAGACTCCTCAGCACCGAGTGGGGGCTGCCTTCCATGGTGAAGTCTGTAAGTGGGCCCCACGCCCCTCGAAATGTGACTGCGGTAGAGCCGTGTTCTACACCACATTATACTTTCAAATAGGTGGTGGGAGCCGATTCCGAATGTCATTTTTGCATCAGTTCAAATTGTATTATAATAAACTTGAGTTATGAGCGTATAATGAATTGGAAATATTATTACAGTCTTCATGAAGGCACCCGATAAAACCTTCTGAAGGAAGCCAGCTCCTGCTCTATGTCTAAAAGCAATTATTCTTGCCCTGCTTTGCCAGCAACTTGAGACCAGTACCAAGAGCTGGAAGGAACATCTGCCGGTCACTGCTGGGTGCCAGTTGCTGGTCAGCAGTAGGCCAGGTTCATTAAGATAAGGAGAATGTTCCCAGACTCACTGCTGTTACCTTTACACCATGTGTAGTATTCTCCTGAGCGTTTAGAAACACTTCTATTCAGTCACAAACAAGTAGGCTTTGGTGAGCCACTTTAACCATCAAGAAACTAGAATGCCAGTTCATCAGTGTGAGCAAATGGCCTAGAGTTCCATGGAGAGTTTCTGCAGAGACAGGTCCACTCAGCACTGACGTGGCCTCCTCTGTGTGACCAGGGCATTGGACAGTGGGAGCGCAGAAAGGAGCAGGACCAGCCAGGCCCAGGAAGTGACGCTGGGTGCTGACGGGCGCATCGTCCTCCACGAAGCCAGGGCTGTTCTTGTAGGCCTTGTGCCTAGGACTGCCCTGACATGCTGCCACATGTTCTTGAGTTCTCCGTTTTCTGGGTGCCATGTCTCCCCACATTTTCTGATTTCCGTATTTCTACACCATGCATTGCATGCACACATCTCCAGTGGCTTGACTCCTAATGGCTTCTGGTAAAGGTTTTTGTGTGTGGCATGTGGCATCCTGGTGTCATCCATGCTGTGTGGGTTCCTGTTGCCCTCTGCTCGGTCATTTTCTGGACCTTTGTTTCCTCCTGTATTTTGTAAGACAGATCTTTGATTAAGATAATTATAACATATTTGTACCTTCAAATGCAGTATTGACCCACTTTCCTGCTCTGACTGCTAATTCTGAATGTTTCACTTAGATTATTGGTGCAGCAAGAACCAAGACGTACGTGCAAGAGCATTCTGTAGTTGACCCTGTGGAGAAAACAATGGAGCTCAAGTCTACCAATGTAAGCCCTGGTTCTTTTTATTTCCATTTTGAACCGTTTGGCTATGTTTTTCATCCTTAAATAGAAGGTGAATGTGCATAGACTTATGTAGAAACCCAGTACCTAGGGTTGGGAATATAGCTCAGTGGTAGAGTACTTGTCTAGCATGCATGAAGCCCTGGGTTCAATTCCTCAATACTACATATACAGAAAAGGCTGGAAGTGTCTCTGTGGCTCAAGTGATAGAGCACTAGCCTTGAGCAAAGAAGCTGGGTGACAATGCCCAGGCCCTGAGTTAAAGCCCCACAGCAGACAAAAAGGAAGGAAGGAAAGGAAGAGATGGAAGGGAGGAAAGGAAGGACCCCAGTACCTACAGATGAGAGGTGTATCCCATCCACTTCCTGGGCCTGACTGCTGCTTCCTCAAGTCTAGTACCGAATAAACCAAAGTCAGGACCCCACACACATTGTCATTACACCCTTCTGAAATTGATTTGAATAAAAAGCAGATAGTGGAAGTGAAATTAAGGTGCTTTCAGAGTAGTCGCAAGATAGTTTATTTCTAGTTTTGTATGTTTAGAAAGATTTGTGTGTCTGTTCATTTGGGAAGTGATTTGCATCATTGTTTCAGGAATGATAAGCCTTTTTTCTCCTCATCCTGTAGATTTCGTTTACAAACATGGTTTCTGTAGACGAGAGACTAGTGTACAAACCACATCCTCAGGACCCAGAAAAGTAAGTCGCACTTGTTTCATGGGTGTTTTAATTTTCTCCATCAAGTATCTGTAAAAAATAGACATTGGGTGGGCTGAAACTGTGATGTGTTTTGTACCAGAACCATTTTGACTCAAGAAGCCATCATCACGGTGAAAGGGGTGAGCCTCAGCAGTTACCTGGAGGGGCTTATGGCCAGCACCATCTCCTCCAATGCTAACAAGGTGAGTGTTTGCTGTCCAGCCCCTGCTTCGTTTTCCAAAGTGCTTGTGCTGAATGTGTTTGTTCTTTTCAGCATTCTTAGCCCCCTGCAGCCAGCAGCCAGAGAGCTTTAGGCAGGTCCTTGAACAGGCACATCCGGGCTCCCGTGCCAGCACTCTTACCACCCTTTCAACCTGGGGCAATTAAGCTCGCCTTTGTGTGCCTCCGTTCCCCATCCATGCCAGAGGACGATGGAAGTGAGGTAACACGTGACAGCCTGTGTCTCAGGGCCCAGCGTGGAGGACGTGCCTGGCGATACGTACCTGTGAACCCTTCTTTGAAATGCTGTTTCTTCACATGTCCTCTTCTAGCCACTATCCTGGTGAAATTTGCTTTCATGGTCAGAGTCAGAGTCAGACTTCCCATTTCCTCAAGAAGCAATTTTTGCCCATTGAGAAATCGCTCCCATTGACCAAGCATGAATTAAAACAAAGCATAGGACTGGGAATGTGGCTTAGTGGTATAGTGCGCACCTTGAGCAAAGAAGCTTGGGGACAGTGCCCTGAACTGAATCCCCAGGACCAACAAAAAAAGAAAAAATGTAGGGAAAGAGATGTCCAGTGGACTGGACACCATGTCTGCTGTGGTGAGTCAAGGATATTCATGGATACTTTTCTCTGTGTCAGGCAGAGTACTAGGCTAGACTGGGGACTGCAGGAGCAAAACACAAGTATCCCTTCCTTGGAGAACTAAGGAAGGACACAATAATCACAAGAAGTCCTTAGGAGAGGAAAACTATAGGCAGCTACAGTGCTTAATGCTTGGTGTGTGATACTTGAAGTCTATGAGTACTTGAAGGGGGAGAGGATAGATTGTAAGGATTATACCAGGAAAAGCATTCAGGAAGAGGAACGGCATGTGCAAGGGCCCTCAAACAAGAAGCGTCAGGAAGGAAGGGGTGAGCATAGAGCCAGGGACCAAGTCCTTGAGAGGCTTGCCCATAGTTTTATTTTACAATGTAGACATCAAAAGAAAAGAATTCTGACCACTATAATCATGAAATAATAAGACATCCTGTCATTTAATTGTAGATGCTTTTAAGAACATCTTTTTCATACAAAATAAAAATCAGTTTATGGATCAAGCCATTTGATATTTGGTAAATAATATAAGACAAGAGAAAGAACAAAAGGGATCTGTGGGCCCTCCTGAGGTTTCGTTGTGCCCAGAGCTACCTGGGACTTCCTGGTGTGTCATTTATGTCGTACACGCCTTTGCTCTTCCTCCCTAACAATCACCGTGTTGGATTTTAAAGGGCCGAGAAGCAATGGAATGGGTAATACACAAATTGAATGCTGAGATTGAAGAACTGGCAGCTTCGGCCAGAGGAAGCGTGAGGACCCCGATGGCGGCGGCGGCCTTTGTGGAGAAATGACAGTGAGCCTTGTCCACAGCACCGGGGCCCGGGGCCTCCAAGCTGGCCGCATATTTATTTGTTATTTAAAAAACATACAACTATTTTAGGCAGAACTTTTTTTCAAATGAGCTGGATGGAGTAAGGCTGTGTGACTTCTGATCCAAACAAAGAAACGCAGGGCTTCTAAGTGATGGGAGATTTCTGAGGTGAGGGTGACTGGGAACGACTGCCTGGATTTTGAGAGTTCCAGTATTTATGGGGAAATTTAAGTCTTTAAGTATTTGGTATTGACACTGACTCTGCTTAAAGAGATTCTACAGCTTTTCAGACATTGGAGCTCATCCTGGCACTGGACCAACCCCAGGGCCGAGCCGAGCCGAGCCACCCTACACGCCCACAGCTGCCATGCACCAACCACTATGGCCTGCAGGAGGAAACTCACTTCAAAAGGAGAAACTGTATAGTTTTAAAAGACATTCATTTATATAAAGTAACATGCTCTGCTAAAAACCACAGTGTTTTGGTTTGGTATTTAAATGATATTTTTGGAGTGAAAATTAGCACTAAAGTAATATGGCTCTAACAATATTACTTTATTGTATTAAAGAGTACTGTATTGATTTGCCAAAGTTTTGTAACTTAGTAAAGGTATTGCCTTCCTTGGCCTTGTACTTTATGACTTAGCATGCTGTGCCGTGGGCTGGTTATATTAACTGAAAAAAATAAAAGTCGTTGCCTGAGTTTGCAGCACTCTTAAAACAGAACAGCTCTTCACGTCTCCTAGCATCTCTCATTTGCCTAACTTATAAATTGCCATGTGTCATAATCATGGTTTTGTAATTGCTAAGGCATGATATGTCAGGTTATTTGAATATAATTACTTTTTGAGGTAATTGTGACCACAAAACATCTTTTTTTACATGAAGAGCTGTACATCATTTGAAATTACTCAAATGATGTCTTGATCTGAAGCATAAATTCCGGTACTTCATGTTTTAATAACATGGTGCCAACTGCAGAGCGAGGGGGCGTGGGGAAAGAGAGAGAGAGAACTGTGACCATAGTCATCAAGTGGGTGAGTGGATGGCACCCCAGGTTCAGTGCAGCGAATCCTTACTTTAGACGGACACCAAGAGTGGGTGTCCAGTGGAAATCAGTACATGTGTTTCATTTTGTCTTTTGTAGCTACCAATTATCAACCACTAAACGGTGTCTTTGATACTTATAATTGTTGCATACACTTTTTGTTAAAAGGTGATTAGCTTTTCCTTTTATTTTACAGGACTTAATGCGATCAACTTCTAGTCGGGTTTCCTATAGACTAATTCATATATGAACAAAAACCACAGAAACAATATCCCAAACCTTTTTAACATTAGTATTTTTCTACTTAAAATAATGCTTAGCTTAAGAACTCTTAGGTATTTGTAAGAGATTAAGCCCGGTAAGATTGCTGATTACTTTTGTAACCTGTGATGGATTTTACCAATGAACTAACATTTCATCTAAATAAAATATTGCCTAAATAGAGTTTTAAGAGATGGCTTGTACAGTTTCTGTGAATTGTGCCTGCTCGGGAAAGGCGCGGCCGCCTCCCGGCCTCGGGGTCCGGCCTCCCGGCCTCGGGGTCCGGCCTCGGGGTCCGGCCTCCCGGCCTCGGGGTCCGGCCTCCCGGCCTC